AAGCTATTGCAATTCTGAATCCATAGATGTGTCTCCCATCACCCAAATCCCCTGACTATTCTCTCAACTCAGTATTTACATTCTTATCCATCCATCCATCCATCTTCTTCCGCTTATCCGTGGTCGGGTCGCGGGGGTAGCAGTTCCAGCAGAGAACCCCAAACTTTCTTTTCCCTGGCGACATCAACCAGCTCTGACTGGGGGATCCCAAGGCGCTCCCAGGCCAGCGAAGAGATATAATCCCTCCACCTGGTCCTAGGTCTACCCCTTGGTCTCTTCCCAGCTGGACGTGCCTGGAACACCTCCCTAGGGAGGCGCCCACGTGGCATCCTAACTAGGTGACCGAACCACCTCAACTGGCTCCTTTCGACGCGAAGGAGGAGCGGCTCAACTCCGAGTCCCTCCCTGATGACCGAACTTCTCACCTTATCCCTAAGGGAGACACCAGCCACCCTGCGGAGAAAACCCATCTCGGCCGCTTGTATCCGCGATCTCGTTTACATTCTTATATTCAAAGAAAATCAGTAATATCTTTAAAAACTACAAGTCCTTTTCTATCAGCTGTGCACCGTTATGGTGTAAATATAACCTATTATCTACCAATTGGATCAAATATAAAAGTCAGCCGAATTACTATTGATACTGCAAGGAGACGTATTTTGTGAAAAGAAATTGAAGATGTTGTTTAATTGTTGATATATTTATGATCCACATCAAGTATTCAGTTTTGGCGGCAGTTCCTCATGTTTGTCTAGAAGTCTTCTCATCAGGGCTCTATAAATAAAGAACTATGGCAGATGTATAATATTTAATGGAGCCGAACCGTGTATTACAATGCCGTTATGTGATGACTTCCAAAGAGAAAAGCAAGAACACTCTGAATTAGGTATTATTTTATTTTTCGTTTTCGGATATCACAACTTATTAACACCATATACCAGCGTTTATTGCGGCTAAAACATCCAATCAACGAGCTTCAAGCTGAGGATCTTGGGTAATCAGTTCGGTGGATTTGTGGTGTGTATCGCTCGAAATGTCCCGCCTGTTTCCGGTGACTTTATTTACGGCTAAAAAGCCCAAGATTATAGAATTAAACGAATAAATAAAAACAAGGATAATTGTGTGTTATGGTTGAGTAAATAACAGTGTGTTATTTAGAAAATAATAACAAATTAGAAGGAAAAGATTTTAAAAAATACAGATTTCAGTATTTTGAGGCTCTAAACCCCATTTATTTTCCTCACAGACGGGAAAAAAGTCCGACATTATACGATTTAAAATAAAAACAAATAAATAAAAAGATAAAACACTGGCATGTAATTTACGTTAGAATAAATAGAATGGTTTTGAATAATAGATGATAGTAAAACGTCACTTTACAGCCCCGCCCACTTTTGGGGAAACCAACGCTGTCATTTGAACGGCGATCAAGCCTGAAGCCACAGAGCTCTTCTTTTACTGTCCTTTCTTCTTAGAGGAAGTACAGAAACAAGTAACTCTGGATTTGTTTTAATCTTTGAGGTGCAATAAACGACACAGCAGCTTTTTGTCATGTTAAAACTATTATTTTCTGCCTCGCTCATGAGAGTAACAGCTGCCGAAATTACAGCCTCGCCTACTGATTTTTAATTTAACCATATATCGAGCCCGATTCTCGATTTCAAATGTGTGCTCTAAAATGATATTTATAAATGACTATTATCATTATTATAAGCAAGGCAATAAATGGAAAAGATATGTAGAAAATAAACGTATTTAAGATACGTTCATAACGAACGTAACGTGGGAGAAAATACGTTTCTAGAAGATATGTAGAAATTAAACGTATTTAAGATACGTTCATAACGAACGTAACGTGGGAGAAGATATGTTTCTAGAAGATATGTAGAAAATAAACGTATTTGAGATACGTTCATAACAAACGTAACGTGGGAGAAAATACGTTTCTAGCTAAACGTAATTGAGAATGCAGTTTAGTTCTGTGGGAACGTAATTTTTAGGAGACAGGGTTGCGTGTGAAGGGGGAGGTGCTGAATACGTCACATCACATGAACGTGCCGGGCAGGCGGTCCCGTGGGTTAGATGCGCGTTCATAATGCCGAGGGAAATAACTCTCGGAATAACGTTATTAGCAAATTTTTACAACTTGAGGAACGAATGTTTTTAATAAGGGCTATACAAGTCTTCATACTGGGTTGTTTATTTAGTTTAAAAAAAATTATCCAACGAGTTACAGACCACTCTTTCCCAATGTAAGTCAATGGGAAAAAGTGTTTCCGGGCCCAGCAACCAAACGGAAGTGTAGTACCGCCATTTGGCCACTATGAATATTCTCATCAGACTCCGGCGCACTTCCTGGGGGCTTGGCTGTGAGCGGGCGAGGAAAAGCCGCAACAGCCTCCACCTTCGCTTGCAGAGGTGTCGCACCGCCCTTAAATCAATCATATCACAAGAATGGTTTACTCAAACAGCCAATGTAGTATAACACACTTTAACACAAGTACAGAAGTAGCGTGCCTAAAACTGTTTTTGCAAGTGTATTTAATTGTTTTATCTTAATGAAAACGCATGTGTTTGTGACGGAGTGAGCACATAACAGTATATATGATTATTCTGAAAGCAGGACAGACAAACATGCACACAGTCTCTAATACCATAGGCAACAAAAAGGACTTGTAACAAAAGAAAAACTCAAATGAACATTCAAACTTGAATCTTGTTTTTCTTTGTCCTAAAGATATTCACAAAACCAATAACAGTACCATAATACAAGCAAAAAAAGGCGTGTGGTGTAGTGGGTTGTGCGTTGGTGTTCAGATCAGCGGGTCACATGTTCAAACCCCACTGCAGTCAACATGTCGTTGTGTCCCTGGGCAAGACACTTCACCCCAAATTGCTCCTGTGGGGATTGTCCACAGTATTGAGTATGTAAGTCGCTTTGGATAAAAGCGTCTAACAAGTCACATGTAATGTAATGTAACAACAGGGTGAAACAAAAACATATTTTTGCTCTCCAATTACTTCAATAAATCCCAAATGTTTTCTGTTTTCACTTTCTTCATTTTACCCTGAGAAATGCAACAAAAACAAACAAGTTTCTTGAACAACTGAAAGTAACCCTTTGTGAGAAAGTCTGATGTACAAAATGGTCATTTAGGGGTTTGAGATATTGCTCTTTTACCTTACGGATTTTTGCACAGGACTTAAGAACTCAGAGGTGACAGAAAATCAGAAAATCAACAGCACTCAGTTGCCACCCTGACAGCACAGCAGCACCTGTAGACAATCAGCTCATTAGGCCCTGATTGGCTGCAAGCTGCAATAAAGCCTCCTTTTCTGCTGCTCAGACAAGCAGAGCAAGTCACTTCGGGGCTACTGGTTCTTTACTGCTGTCTTGGAACAGAGAGAGAGAGAAATATGACTTGTGGAGTTCATTTGGGGTAAGTTTCTGCAGACATAAAAAGTGAATTGTTGTTAGCTGTCTGCAATCTCTGATGTTTACATATTTTCTGTGCAGGATTTTCCTTATTGTCTTGGTTCAAGCAGAGCATGTGCGCTGTTTGTGGGCTTCACAAGGTGAGCTAAGCACAACATTTCACTTAAGTGCTGTGAATGACTATAGCTGTGGCTTTAATATTTTTCTTTTTCTCTAGCAGCTCAGAGCAAGAACAACACATATGTTGGCTTCAGGCAAAATAATCGGGAAGCTGGTGTCAACTATCTCCAGAATCGACTCAGACAGGCTCAAAGCAGAAACTTAAACATACCTTCAGCTGTGGGCAGTCGTTTTAGCTGGGGGCCTTCTACTGGTGGCTACACACAAACTGTTTCACAGCCAGCTAAAAGTGGCTTAGCTAAAGTCAGGTTAGTGCAGGGCAGCTCAGTGTCAAAACCTAACTTGAATCGTGTGCCTAAACAGCGTTTTCATGGCCTTTCTAGTGCTATTGTCGGTAGCGATTCTCTGAGTAAGAGCAGCAACAAGGACACGCAGAAGTCTTCCAGCCTGTTTGGTGCCGGTGCTCCTGAGCCAAACCAAACCCCTGCACGGACCAAAACTTCCTCCAGTGTTCGCGCTAAGCTAGTGTCTAAAACGGATAAACCTTCCCGTCCTTCAGCTCCTAAAAACCCCAGCCAGACTGAGGTTGTGAACCCATACAAGAGTAAACTGTTTTCAGGGAATGCAGGAAATGCCAGAGGAAGCTACAAGGCTACTTCCATGGCCTCAAGTTATGGCACTTCTCTTGAGTCCAATGTAGGAAATGGTCCCATCTTCAAGCCTCACAGTTACTCAACGAGCTACGGCTCCAAATCATCCAGAGAGGGAACCTCTGGTAAGAAGTTAGCCCCGACCAAGACCCACATCATCCCTGATCAATTTGGTGGCTATGCTATCAGACGGCTGAAGGCTCCTGAGCAGGAGAAAGTGAGTGTCAGGAAGCCCCAGCAGGCCTACCAGACTCCCATCAAGGCCTACGTGGCCCCTCAGCGGCAAGCAACAAACCAGGCCTACAATGCTCCCCAGCAGCAGACTCTCAACAGGGTCTACGAGACTTCCAACAAGGCCTACGAGACTCCCAACAGGGTCTACAATGCTCCCAACAAGGCCTACAATGCTCCCAACAGGGCCCACGAGACTCCCAACAGGGCCCACGAGACTCCCAACAGGGCCCACGAGACTCCCAACAGGGCCCACGAGACTCCCAACAGGGCCCACGAGACTCCCAACAGGGCCCACGAGACTCCCAACAGGGCCCACGAGACTCCCAACAGGGCCCACGAGACTCCCAACAGGGCCCACGAGACTCCCAACAGGGCCCACGAGACTCCCAACAGGACCCCCAACAGGGCCTACGAGACTCCCAACAGGACCCCCAATAGGCCCTACGAAACTCCCAACAGGCCCTACGAAACTCCCAACAGGCCCTACGAAACTCCCAAGAAGGCCTACGTAGCCCTTCAGCGGCAAGCAACGAACCAGGCCTACAAGGCTCCCAACAGGTCCTACGTGGCCCCTCAGAGGCAGGCTGAACCCCAGGCCTACATCTTTCCTCAGGTTGCTCCTCTCAAGTCCCGAGTGCTCACATAAATGCCAAATGGTTTCGTGTCAGTCCAAAGTGGGGACAATAGCAGGTGAGTACTATGCTCGCTTTCTTGCTGTTCTATACATTAACTTAAACCTGGTGACTAATGTGTGTTTGTTCTTACAGGTGCAGCTGGTGTCCTCGGATGAATATTTTATTTTTAAATAAATACATTAATTTACCACCTGGTTGTGTCTTTACTTCACCTTGTATTGTGGGATGGTGAATGCCTAAGCATGAATGCTTGTGGATGTAAGCTTGGTGCCCTCTAGTGTCTAAAAGGTGTGTTGCAAAAATGTTTCCTTTACAAACCAAATTTGGAAAATGTATCTTAATACTTTACAGCGCTGACAAAAGATTGTGAAAATCCCCTTAGCAAAAACAAATGTCTCAATAGTTCTAGTTTAAACTATTGCAAATTTACAAAAGTGTGAGATATCTGCTTATGTGGCACACTGGTTCTTACAACAATGCAGTGTTTGCTTTTGAGTTGGACTTTTTACTTTGACCTTTACCAGTGGCACTCTTTATAATGTCACTCTTAGGTTTTAGCTCAAGTGGTAAAATATCTTATCACTTTAAGGGGCTCCCACTAAATGTACAAGTCAATTGATAGACATTGAGCACTAAACTTAAAACATGTGATTCCTTATCCCAATGTCTGCACTTGAAAGTTCCTCAACTTGAATTAAAGTGTACATGCTAGTGTAGACTGTGGCCATATTGGATTACATGTTTATAATATATTGCCTTATATTTAACATTGTAGTCTGATGAAACTTTGAATGTAAAGATACACTAAGACCCGAACAGTAGTGATGGCAAAATGAAGCTTTGAATGAAGCATCGAATCACTTTGATTTGAAGCAGTTGCTGCTTCGGACGTCATATGTCACGTGATTTGAAGCAAGCTTCGAAGCACTGCTTCTATGGAATAGGAAGTCCAGGGTTGAAGCTCCGTTCGAAGCTTCAGTGTCAAACTGCCATACCGAACAGTACAAGCTTCTTGAAGAATATGGGTTGTTTTAACCCAAACATTTATAAAAGTTAATTCACCGGCCACTAATTTTCTGATGACTATGAACTGATTTGTAATATTGTGTATTGTAGTGCCAGGAAAAGGGAGTCGGAGGCGGTGTATTAAGAACAGAGTTCCAATCTTTATTAGCCATTAATAACAGAGAGGTTATCACATGAACTGCTCTGCTTGACGAGCTAGCAGGAATGGAAGCTAACGCTACAGGTGTTCCCACTAAAGGGTCCGTGTGGCAACACAATACGAGAGGTGAATTATGTCCAATAACGTGTCACCACACAAGCCCCCCCAGAATTCACGTGTAAACAAATCCGTAAGGCGGGGAGGAACAATCCGCCTGCGCACCGGAGTCGGAACAGCGACTTCCACCCGTGCGGCCCCTGACAGAGGAGGGACCGGAACAACAGGTCCACACTCCCTGACAGGAATCAAAGCCGGGGGTCGGCCCCGTCTCGGCGGCCGAGCCAGCACCACCGGCCGGTCCACGTCCAAGTGAGCAGCCTTCACCCGGTCAACCGAGACGTGCTCAGCCTTACCGCCCATGTCGACCACCAGGTGTTTTTCACCGTGTTCCAAAACCCGGAAAGGTCCATCGTAAGGGGGCTGCAGGGGGCCTCTGTGTGGCGTCGTGACGAATGAAGACGTGCCCAGCCGAGCGTAGCTCCGCGGGAACTTGAGACCCTGGCGCAGCGTGCTGAGTAGTCGGGACTGGAGCGAAAGCCTCCGCCGCGTCACGCGGGAAAAACTCGCTGGGCCGTGGCAGACCAGGGAGCTGATGCATTTGGGAGGAAATCCCCCGGAACTCTCAGCGGCTGACCGTAGACCATCTCCGCTGTAGAACACTGCAGATCTTCCTTAGGTGCGGTCCTCAGGCCCAGCATCACCCTGGGCAGCTTGTCGACCTAGTTACCTTCCGTAAGGCCGGCCTTGAGGGCCGCCTTCATGGAGCGATGGAAGCGCTCGCAGAGGCCGTTAGCCTGAGGGTGGTAAGCGGTAGTCCTGTGCAGCTTAACCCCCAAACCGCCTGCCACAGTGTTCCAGAGCTCGGACGTGAACTGAGAGCCCCTATCTGAGGAAATGTCTGACGGGGTGCCAAAACGACACACCCACGTTGCAATGAAGGCCCGGGCAACGTCTGCGGCTGATGTCGAAACGAGCGGAACCGCCTCCGGCCAAAGGGTCGTTCTGTCCACCATGGTGAGGAGGTAGGAAAACCCCTGAGAGGAAGGCAACGGACCAACCAGGTCAATGTTGACGTGATCAAACCTCCTCTCAGGCACTAGGAAACGCTCCAACGGGGCCTTCGTGTGGCGGTGCACATTAGCGCGTTGACAAGCCACGAACTCCCTGGCCCAAGTCCTCACGTCCCTTTTCAGTCCTTGCCAAACGAACTTCGCCGCTACCAAATGTACCGAAGGTTTAACGCCGGGTGTGACAGGCCGTGCACAGCCTCGAACACAGGACGCATCCAGATGGCAGGGACGACAGGCCGCGCCAGGCCCGTAGAGACGTCACACAGGAGAGTAATGCCCGCATCGCCGAACACCACGTCCTCCAAGCGCAGCCCCGCGCTCTCCACCTTCAGAGCCTGGACGCCGGGATCTGTGACCTGGTCCGCCGCCATGCGAGTATAGTCCAGGCCCAACTGGACAGCACCGATGACGACCCTGGAGAGGCAATTAGCAACCAGGTTCGACTTGCCAGCCACGTGCTTAATGTCCGTAGTGAACTCCGATATGTAGGACAGCTGCCGCTGCTGACGTGCCGACCAAGGCTCCGCCACTTTTGACATGGCGAAGGTGAGCGGCTTGTGGTCGCCAAACGCCGTAAATTCACGGCCTTCCAGCATGAAACGGAAGTGCCGCACGGCCAAATAAAGTCCGAGGAGCTCCGGGTCAAAGGCGCTGTATTTGCGTTCTCTAGGCGTCAGCTGGCGGCTGAAAAAGGCGCCGGACTACGCGGTCGGCGCAGTGCACGAGCAGTGGGTGGAGGGCGCTTGGCAGCCGCTCGCCTTTTTCAGCCGCCAAGCGCCCTCCACCCACTGCTCGTGCACTGCGCCGACCGCGTAGTCCGACGCGTCCATGGTGATGGAGATGGGAGCCGTAGGTGTTTGGTGTGCCAGCAAAGCCGCCTGAGCCAACGTGGTCTTGACCTCAGCAAAAGCGCCGTCCGCCTCTGCTGTCCAGTCGATCTCCTGGACGGAGGTCTTGCCTTTCAACGCTTCATACAGCGGCCGCATGATGTGTGCGGCCCGGGCGATGAAACGGTGGTAGAAAGTCACCATCCCCAGAAACTCACGGAGCGACCGGGCTGTGAGCATGGATGTATAATAAGAACTGGATACAGCGTGGGAGGCGGGGCCTCATTCATTCCTATGAGAGTTGCTCATTAGCGCATGATGACAAAATGGCCCAACTTTTGAGAGAGCGAAACGTCACAGATTACCCGGCATGCCTGAGAAGTACCCGTATGTGCGCTCATAGCGCATGCGCAACTTTAACCACGCCGCCCAAAAGGCTCGTTCACATTAAGCACGTGAATTTGCGTACACGTAACAGCACCGCGCGTTCATGACAGCATGGTACTGGATTTATATTAACGAGGCGGCAGTTAGCAGCTAGCGGCTAGCTAGTAAATGATGCTAACTTACACATCAATCGTTATGTACTTTTATATTACGCTGACATCAGGATCTAGTGATATCCAAGCAACAGAGCTTCATTTAGCATGATACTTGTGTGGGTTGTACATGAAAACCACTTGGTAATATATACAAATGTATATGTTGAAGCCTGTTATGATCAATTGTGAGTTAAAACTTTATCTAAAAAGTAAAGCTGATGATGGATTACTGTGGTGGAGTTAAAATAACAATATCCTATTTCTTTTTGAAATGTGATTGAGTAAAAGGATAGTAACTGTGATTATTCATGTTAAGTAGCCAGCAAGTAACTAAAACGTATAATACTTGAAGGAAAGGTGTCAAATGTTCCCATAAATACCAATATCACAGTACAACACCCCTTGTTGTTAAATACCAACCATGTGTATATATATATATATATATATATATATATATATATATATAAATATGCCGCTAAAACTGTGTAATATACCAGGCTGCTAAATCCTCCAAACTGTTGTTGCTGGATGTGTATTTTGTGAAATGTGTATTTTTTTTAAATTATAATTTCTTGTTTTGAATCTTTAATACTTTTTGTATGCATACTTTAAGTAACATTAGGCTGTCTTTGGCTCTTTTCTGCTGTAACAATGTAAATGTATTCTGATCTAATTGATGTTTTTGTCAGTTTGTTTCCCTATATTGCGACACTTATTTGGTTTAAGATTATTTCTCCTTTTTTTACAGACATCCCCAACCATAGTGGAATGCTGTTGTAAAGGATTGCATTGATCCGTGCATCAATACCTTCACCCAGCTTTGAGGCCTACAATGAATGAACATCATCTTGTGGCTGGGAAAAATGTGAACAAATAAATCTCACAAAGAGTGACTTTCTGGTGGAATCATTATAATATCAAAGACAAGCACTTTCAGTAACAATATATAAAATCATTCAGCAGCAGAGGATGGGGTGGAAACAGCATTTCTAACTAAGATGATTACAATATTACAAGTTAAACATCAAGATGAACATACTATTATTAATTTAAAAAGTACATGGGAGACTTAAATATCCTGCAATATACCATTAGCAGAATTGGAACAAATGTGCCAAAACATTTCTAAAATAAACATAAACATAAACTGAGGGCTTTCTTCCTGAGCCGCTGGGAGTAAAGGTCCTCCATGGATGGCAGCTCCGCCCTGGTGATGTTCTGTGCAGTTTTCACCACCCTTTGGAAAGCCTTACGATTGAGGGCGGTGCAGCTGCCGTACCAGGCCGTGATGCAGCTGTGTCCGTGATGGACACTGAGGAACCTGAAGCTGCTGACTCTCTCTACCTGTAGTCCCATTGATGGCGATGGGGGGCGTGTCCCTCTCTTTGCTGCTTCCTGCAATCCACAATCAGCTCCTTGGTTTTGCTGACGTTGAGATGGAGGTTGTTATCCTGGCACCAAGATGTCAGGTTTTCGACCTCCTCTCTGTACGCCGTCTCGTCGTCTGGGTGAGGCTGGTGAGGCTGGGGAAGATGAGTGAGGGAAAGAGAGAAACAAAACAGGGGGACTAAAATGAGTGAGGGAAAGAGAGAAAAATACAAGGGGACTAAGATGAGTGAGGGAAAGAGAGAAAAATACAAGGGGACTAAGATGAGTGAGGGAAAGAGAGAAAAATACAAGGGGACTAAGATGAGTGAGGGAAAGAGAGAAAATACAAGGGGACTAAGATGAGTGAGGGAAAGAGAGAAAAAGACAAGGGGACTAAGATGAGTGAGGGAAAGAGGAGAAAAAGACAAGGGGACTAAGATGAGTGAAGGAAAGAGAGAAAATACAAGGGGACTAAGATGAGTGAAGGAAAGAGAGAAAAATACAAGGGGACTAAAGTTTAAGAGAGAGGAAGAACACAGAATGTGAGTGAACAATTTAATTAAATGACACATTTAAAAAAAATAGTGTGAGTAAGTGAAGACATCCTTACAAGGAGGAGGGCCCTGTCAAATTTATAAGTTATTCTTGTTAAATATACATATCCTGTTGAGGCTAGAATCCAAAATGCAGAACCACTTTAGATTATAGCCTCAAGGGACTGTTTAAGGTTAAAAACATATCATTTCCCAAATTGGTGAAATGAACTCCATCTCTTAGAAATATGCCAGGGCAGTCAAACTTAATGCAAGGATGCCTTACACTCTCTCCACCCAAACCACTAACACATTTACCCATCTCTCTGTTCACCCACATTCTGGCCTTGTTCAGCTTTCCCAGATTGGCTTTCCTCCAGTGACATCTCTCATTGATAGAAGATAGAATTATCTTCATCTCTGAGAAGTTGTCACTGAGGGAAAGCAGGTCCTGCTTCATCGCTGTGACAAGCTCCACACCTTTGATGTTGCCAAGGTCGTTGTCGTTGCCGCCACAGTGGATGAGCAGGACATCCGGGACTGTTCTTCCTCTCAAGGACTAATAGAAAAAGGGAAGAAGGTTCCTCCACCTCAGACCACCCTTGCCAAACCACCACACACGGCAATTGAGACCCAGGTTGCTTCCCATGGTGTGTCTGGCTCTTTCTTCCCCACGTCTAATGTAGCTGCTCCCTATTATCCACACATTGGGACCTAGATAGAATAAAATATATTGAAAAAGGAAAAAGTGGTTACTGGTGATCATCTTTTAGAAAAAGGCGGTACATGTAGCCTGAGTTGTCATATCATTTTCATCATATTTTTAAGACTACACAAGTTTAATTTGTAGATTATATTACATATAACTCTATACTTGTATATAGAATCATGATGAAACTTTATAAGGATTAAGATTATATATTAATATTACATTAAATAATGCATGACGATTTCATGCATTATTACGAAGCAGGATGTATCAAGTCACTGACTTTTTGTGATAAGGTCACAATCAACTGATTTCACTTATCAGATGTAAAAATAAGGTACAATATATTTGTTTTTGCCATATGAAAGTAAAGGGTATGCAATCAAAAAATTACTGAAACAAAATGAATACAAATTCTTATAAAAACTATACAGCACCTTGTCCAAGTATGGCGGGAGGCCCACTTTCCTTCAGCATTTCCTCTCTGGATGACGATCCGGCTATTTCTGCCATCTATAAATAAAGTACAAATGATTAGCTCTTCACGCCTCTTTAAAATAATATGTGTTCTTGAAGATTCTGTATGCATCGTCGTTTACAATGGTAGGGACATTGCATTGGAAATTAGTTGTGAAAAAGATATGTCATTTTTAGTTTTTTCATCTCACATTTATAGATTTTAAATAGAAATATATATATATAAAACGAATTATAAATGCAAAGTCTGGTTTCTAGAAAGTTGGCTAATGCATCCAGAGTTAACATTGCAGAACTGCTGGCATGCATACATTTCTAGCATTTTGGTTAACTATGAAAAGTATGGAAAATTACTGTGCAAACACCCAACATTAGCTTAGCCACAGTAGCGGTTGCTGATGAGTGGTTTGGCTTATTTTACGTCTTTTATATGAGAACATGTTACATTACATACAGACATTAAGGAGGCAGGTTAGAAAATAAATATGTTTTCGTATCTTACCTTTTGGAGCAAACTGTTGTCGGTTGTTAGCATAGACTGTAAAGCGTTGTCTCTTTAGCCTCAGTGACATGACAGTGAACACTGAACGTGACCGCGTGTGAAGGGGGAGGTGCTGAATACGTCACATCACATGAACGTGCCGGGCAGGCGGTCCCGTGGGTTAGATGCGCGTTCATAATGCCGAGGGAAATAACTCTCAGAATAACGTTATTAGCAAATTTTTACAACTTGAGGAACGCATGTTTTTAATAAGGGCTATACAATGTCTTCATACTGGGTTGTTTATTTAGTTTAAAAAAAATTATCCAACGAGTTACAGACCACTCTTTCCCAATGTAAGTCAATGGGAAAAAGTGTTTCCGGGCCCAGCAACCAAACGGAAGTGTAGTACCAGCCATTTGGCCACTACGAATATTCTCATCAGACTCCGGCGCACTTCCTGGGGGCTTGGCTGTGAGCGGGCGAGGAAAAGCCGCAACAGCCTCCACCTTCGCTGGCAGAGGTGTCGCACCGCCCTTAAATCAATCATATCACAAGAATGGTTTACTCAAACAGCCAATGTAGTATAACACACTTTAACACAAGTACAGAAGTAGCGTGCCTAAAACTGTTTTTGCAAGTGTATTTAATTGTTTTATCTTAATGAAAACGCATGTGTTTGTGACGGAGTGAGCACATAACAGTATATATGATTATTCTGAAAGCAGGACAGACAAACATGCACACAGTCTCTAATACCATAGGCAACAAAAAGGACTTGTAACAAAAGAAAAACTCAAATGAACATTCAAACTTGAATCTTGTTTTTCTTTGTCCTAAAGATATTCACAAAACCAATAACAGTACCATAATACAAGCAAAAAAAGGCGTGTGGTGTAGTGGGTTGTGCGTTGGTGTTCAGATCAGCGGGTCACATGTTCAAACCCCACTGCAGTCAACATGTCGTTGTGTCCCTGGGCAAGACACTTCACCCCAAATTGCTCCTGTGGGGATTGTCCACAGTATTGAGTATGTAAGTCGCTTTGGATAAAAGCGTCTAACAAGTCACATGTAATGTAATGTAACAACAGGGTGAAACAAAAACATATTTTTGCTCTCCAATTACTTCAATAAATCCCAAATGTTTTCTGTTTTCACTTTCTTCATTTTACCCTGAGAAATGCAACAAAAACAAACAAGTTTCTTGAACAACTGAAAGTAACCCTTTGTGAGAAAGTCTGATGTACAAAATGGTCATTTAGGGGTTTGAGATATTGCTCTTTTACCTTACGGATTTTTGCACAGGACTTAAGAACTCAGAGGTGACAGAAAATCAGAAAATCAACAGCACTCAGTTGCCACCCTGACAGCACAGCAGCACCTGTAGACAATCAGCTCATTAGGCCCTGATTGGCTGCAAGCTGCAATAAAGCCTCCTTTCTGCTGCTCAGACAAGCAGAGCAAGTCACTTCGGGGCTACTGGTTCTTTACTGCTGTCTTGGAACAGAGAGAGAGAGAGAAATATGACTTGTGGAGTTCATTTGGGGTAAGTTTCTGCAGACATGAAAAGTGAATTGTTGTTAGCTGTCTGCAATCTCTGATGTTTACATATTTTCTGTGCAGGATTTTCCTTATTGTCTTGGTTCAAGCAGAGCATGTGCGCTGTTTGTGGGCTTCACAAGGTGAGCTAAGCACAACATTTCACTTAAGTGCTGTGAATGACTATAGCTGTGGTTTTAATATTTTTCTTTTTCTCTAGCAGCTCAGAGCAAGAACAACACATATGTTGGCTTCAGGCAAAATAATCGGGAAGCTGGTGTCAACTATCTCCAGAATCGACTCAGACAGGCTCAAAGCAGAAACTTAAACATACCTTCAGCTGTGGGCAGTCGTTTTAGCTGGGGGCCTTCTACTGGTAGCTACACACAAACTGTTTCACAGCCAGCTAAAAGTGGCTTAGCTAAAGTCAGGTTAGTGCAGGGCAGCTCAGTGTCAAAACCTAACTTGAATCGTGTGCCTAAACAGCGTTTTCATGGCCTTTCTAGTGCTATTGTCGGTAGCGATTCTCTGAGTAAGAGCAGCAACAAGGACACGCAGAAGTCTTCCAGCCTGTTTGGTGCAGGTGCTCCTGAGCCAAACCAAACCCCTGCACGGACCAAAACTTCCTCCAGTGTTCGCGCTAAGCTAGTGTCTAAAACGGATAAACCTTCCCGTCCTTCAGCTCCTAAAAACCCCAGCCAGACTGAGGTTGTGAACCCATACAAGAGTAAACTGTTTTCAGGGAATGCAGGAAATGCCAGAGGAAGCTACAAGGCTACTTCCATGGCCTCAAGTTATGGCACTTCTCTTGAGTCCAATGTAGGAAATGGTCCCATCTTCAAGCCTCACAGTTACTCAACGAGCTACGGCTCCAAATCATCCAGAGAGGGAACCTCTGGTAAGAAGTTAGCCCCGACCAAGACCCACATCATCCCTGATCAATTGGTGGCTATGCTATCAGACGGCTGAAGGCTCCTGGGCAGGAGAAAGTGAGTGTTAGGAAGCCCCAGCAGGCCTACCAGACTCCCATCAAGGCCTACGTGGCCCCTCAGCGGCAAGCAACAAACCAGGCCTACAATGCTCCCCAGCAGCAGACTCTCAACAGGGTCTACGAGACTTCCAACAAGGCCTACGAGACTCCCAACAGGGTCTACAATGCTCCCAACAAGGCCCACGAGACTCCCAACAGGGCCCACGAGACTCCCAACAGGGCCCACGAGACTCCCAACAGGGCCCACGAGACTCCCAACAGGGCCCCCGAGACTCCCAACAGGGCCCCCAAGACTCCCAACAGGGCCCACGAGACTCCCAACAGGGCCCACGAGACTCCCAACAGGGCCCACGAGACTCCCAACAGGACCCCCAACAGGGCCTACGAGACTCCCAACAGGACCCCCAACAGGGCCTACGAGACTCCCAACAGGACCCCCAACAGGCCCTACGAAACTCCCAACAGGCCCTACGAAACTCCCAACAGGCCCTACGAAACTCCCAAGAAGGCCTACGTAGCCCCTCAGCGGCAAGCAACGAACCAGGCCTACAAGGCTCCCAACAGGGCCTACGTGGCCCCTCAGAGGCAGGCTGAACCCCAGGCCTACATCTTTCCTCAGGTTGCTCCTCTCAAGTCCCGAGTGCTCACATAAATGCCAAATGGTTTCGTGTCAGTCCAAAGTGGGGACAATAGCAGGTGAGTACTATGCTCGCTTTCTTGCAGTTCTATACATTAACTTAAACCTGGTGACTAATGTGTGTTTGTTCTTACAGGTGCAGCTGGTGTCCTCGGATGAATATTTTATTTTTAAATAAATACATTAATTTACCACCTGGTTGTGTCTTTACTTCACCTTGTATTGTGGGATGGTGAATGCCTAAGCATGAATGCTTGTGGATGTAAGCTTGGTGCCCTCTAGTGTCTAAAAGGTGTGTTGCAAAAATGTTTCCTTTACAAACCAAATTTGGAAAATGTATCTTAATACTTTACAGCGCTGACAAAAGATTGTGAAAATCCCCTTAGCAAAAACAAATGTCTCAATAGTTCTAGTTTAAACTATTGCAAATTTACAAAAGTGTGAGATATCTGCTTATGTGGCACACTGGTTCTTACAACAATGCAGTGTTTGCTTTTGAGTTGGACTTTTTACTTTGACCTTTACCAGTGGCACTCTTTATAATGTGACTCTTAGGTTTTAGCTCAAGTGGTAAAATATCTTATCACTTTAAGGGGCTCCCACTAAATGTACAAGTCAATTGATAGACATTGAGCACTAAACTTAAAACATGTGATTCCTTATCCCAATGTCTGCACTTGAAAGTTCCTCAACTTGAATTAAAGTGTACATGCTAGTGTAGACTGTGGCCATATTGGATTACATGTTTATAATATATTGCCTTATATTTAACATTGTAGTCTGATGAAACTTTTAATGTAAAGATACACTAAGACCGAACAGTAGTGATGGCAAAATGAAGCTTTGAATGAAGCATCGAATCACTTTGATTTGAAGCAGTTGCTGCTTCGGACGTCATATGTCACGTGATTTGAAGCAAGCTTCGAAGCACTGCTTCTATGGAATAGGAAGTCCAGGGTTGAAGCTCCGTTCGAAGCTTCAGTGTCAAACTGCCATACCGAACAGTACAAGCTTCTTGAAGAATATGGGTTGTTTTAACCCAAACATTTATAAAAGTTAATTCACCGGCCACTAATTTTCTGATGACTATGAACTGATTTGTAATATTGTGTATTGTAGTGCCAGGAAAAGGGAGTCGGAGGCGGTGTATTAAGAACAGAGTTCCAATCTTTATTAGCCATTAATAACAGAGAGGTTATCACATGAACTGCTCTGCTTGACGAGCTAGCAGGAATGGAAGCTAACGCTACAGGTAGAAAGTCACCATCCCCAGAAACTCACGGAGCGACCGGGCTGTGAGCATGGATGTATAATAAGAACTGGATACAGCGTGGGAGGCGGGGCCTCATTCATTCCTATGAGAGTTGCTCATTAGCGCATGATGACAAAATGGCCCAACTTTTGAGAGAGCGAAACGTCACAGATTACCCGGCATGCCTGAGAAGTACCCGTATGTGCGCTCATAGCGCATGCGCAACTTTAACCACGCCGCCCAAAAGGCTCGTTCACATTAAGCACGTGAATTTGCGTACACGTAACAGCACCGCGCGTTCATGACAGCATGGTACTGGATTTATATTAACGAGGCGGCAGTTAGCAGCTAGCGGCTAGCTAGTAAATGATGCTAACTTACACATCAATCGTTATGTACTTTTATATTACGCTGACATCAGGATCTAGTGATATCCAAGCAACAGAGCTTCATTTAGCATGATACTTGTGTGGGTTGTACATGAAACCACTTGGTAATATATACAAATGTATATGTTGAAGCCTGTTATGATCAATTGTGAGTTAAAACTTTATCTAAAAAGTAAAGCTGATGATGGATTACTGTGGTGGAGTTAAAATAACAATATCCTATTTCTTTTTGAAATGTGATTGAGTAAAAGGATAGTAACTGTGATTATTCATGTTAAGTAGCCCACAAGTAACTAAAACGTATAATACTTGAAGGAAAGGTGTCAAATGTTCCCATAAATACCAATATCACAGTACAACACCCCTTGTTGTTAAATACCAACCATGTGTATATATATATATATATATATATATATATATATATATATATATATATAAATATGCCGCTAAAACTGTGTAATATACCAGGCTGCTAAATCCTCCAAACTGTTGTTGCTGGATGTGTATTTTGTGAAATGTGTATTTTTTTTAAATTATAATTTCTTGTTTTGAATCTTTAATACTTTTTTTATGCATACTTTAAGTAACATTAGGTTGTCTTTGGCTCTTTTCTGCTGTAACAATGTAAATATATTCTGATCTAATTGATGTTTTTGTCAGTTTGTTTCCCTATATTGCGACACTTATTTGGTTTAAGATTATTTCTCCTTTTTTTACAGACATCCCCAACCATAGTGGAATGCTGTTGTAAAGGATTGCATTGATCCGTGCATCAATACCTTCACCCAGCTTTGAGGCCTACAATGAATGAACATCATCTTGTGGCTGGGAAAAATGTGAACAAATAAATCTCACAAAGAGTGACTTTCTGGTGGAATCATTATAATATCAAAGACAAGCACTTTCAGTAACAATATATATAATCATTCAGCAGCAGAGGATGGGGTGGAAACAGCATTTCTAACTAAGATGATTACAATATTACAAGTTAAACATCAAGATGAACATACTATTATTAACTTAAAAAGTACATGGGAGACTTAAATATCCTGCAATATACCATTAGCAGAATTGGAACAAATGTGCCAAAACATTTCTAAAATAAACATAAACATAAACTGAGGGCTTTCTTCCTGAGCCGCTGGGAGTAAAGGTCCTCCATGGATGGCAGCTCCACCCTGGTGATGTTCTGTGCAGTTTTCACCACCCTTTGGAAAGCCTTACGATTGAGGGCGGTGCAGCTGCCGTACAAGGCCGTGATGCAGCTGTGTCCGTGATGGACACTGAGGAACCTGAAGCTGCTGACTCTCTCTACCGTAGTCCCATTGATGGCGATGGGGGGCGTGTCCCTCTCTTTGCTGCTTCCTGCAATCCACAATCAGCTCCTTGGTTTTGCTGACGTTGAGATGGAGGTTGTTATCCTGGCACCAAGATGTCAGGTTTTCGACCTCCTCTCTGTACGCCGTCTCGTCGTCTGGGTGAGGCTGGTGAGGCTGGGGAAGATGAGTGAGGGAAAGAGAGAAACAAAACAGGGGGACTAAAATGAGTGAGGGAAAGAGAGAAAAATACAAGGGGACTAAGATGAGTGAGGGAAAGAGAGAAAAATACAAGGGGACTAAGATGAGTGAGGGAAAGAGAGAAAAATACAAGGGGACTAAGATGAGTGAGGGAAAGAGAGAAAAATACAAGGGGACTAAGATGAGTGAGGGAAAGAGAGAAAAATACAAGGGGACTAAGATGAGTGAGGGAAAGAGAGAAAAAGACAAGGGGACTAAGATGAGTGAGGGAAAGAGAGAAAAAGACAAGGGGACTAAGATGAGTGAAGGAAAGAGAGAAAAAGACAAGGGGACTAAGATGAGTGAGGGAAAGAGAGAAAAATACAAGGGGACTAAAATGAGTGAGGGAAAGAGAGAAAAATACAAGGGGACTAAGATGAGTGAGGGAAAGAGAGAAAAAGACAAGGGGACTAAGATGAGTGAGGGAAAGAGAGAAAAAGACAAGGGGACTAAGATGAGTGAGGGAAAGGGAGAAAAAGACAAGGGGACTAAGATGAGTGAAGGAAAGAGAGAAAAAGACAAGGGGACTAAGATGAGTGAAGGAAAGAGAGAAAAATACAAGGGGACTAAAGTTTAAGAGAGAGGAAGAACACAGAATGTGAGTGAACAATTTAATTAAATGACACATTTAAAAAAAATAGTGTGAGTAAGTGAAGACATCCTTACAAGGAGGACTGCCCTGTCAAATCTATAAGTTATTCTGTTAAATATACATATCCTGTTGAGGCTAGAATCCAAAATGCAGAACCACTTTAGATTATAGCCTCAAGGGACTGTTTAAGGTTACTTAAAAACATATAATTTCCCAAATTGGTGAAATGAACTCCATCTCTTAGAAATATGCCAGGGCAGTCAAACTTAATGCAAGGATGCCTTACACTCTCTCCACCCAAACCACTAACACATTTACCCATCTCTCTGTTCACCTACATTCTGGCCTTGTTCAGCTTTCCCGGATTGGCTTTCCTCCAGTGACATCTCTCATTGATAGAAGATAGAATTATCTTCATCTCTGAGAAGTTGTCACTGAGGGAAAGCAGGTCCTGCTTCATCGCTGTGACAAGCTCCACACCTTTGATGTTGCCAAGGTCGTTGTCGTTGCCGCCCACAGTGGATGAGCAGGACATCCGGGACTGTTCTTCCTCTCAAGGACTAATAGAAAAAGGGAAGAAGGTTCCTCCACCTCAGACCACCCTTGCCAAACCACCACACACGGCAATTGAGACCCAGGTTGCTTCCCATGGTGTGTCTGGCTCTTTCTTCCCCACGTCTAATGTAGCTGCTCCCTATTATCCACACATTGGGACCTAGATAGAATAAAATATATTGAAAAGGAAAAAGTGGTTACTGGTGATCATCTTTTAGAAAAAGGCGGTACATGTAGCCTGAGTTGTCATATCATTTTCATCATATTTTTAAGACTACACAAGTTTAATTTGTAGATTATATTACATATAACTCTATACTTGTATATAGAATCATGATGAAACTTTATAAGGATTAAGATTATATATTAATATTACATTAAATAATGCATGACGATTTCATGCATTATTACAAAGCAGGATGTATCAAGTCACTGACTTTTTGTGATAAGGTCACAATCAACTGATTTCACTTATCAGATGTAAAAATAAGGTACAATATATTTGTTTTTGCCATATGAAAGTAAAGGGTATGCAATCAAAAAATTACTGAAACAAAATGAATACAAATTCTTATAAAAACTATACAGCACCTTGTCCAAGTATGGCGGGGAGGCCCACTTTCCTTCAGCATTTCCTCTCTGGATGACGATCCGGCTATTTCTGCCATCTATAAATAAAGTACAAATGATTAGCTCTTCACGCCTCTTTAAAATAATATGTGTTCTTGAAGATTCTGTATGCATCGTCGTTTACAATGGTAGAGACATTGCATTGGAAATTAGTTGTGAAAAAGATATGTCATTTTTAGTTTTTTCATCTCACATTTATAGATTTTAAATAGAAATAT